TGCAAGACAAGGAATATATAGCATCAAAACAACATGATTATCTATCCGCTAAATCTGACTGCTGACAACGACATCTCTATACGCTACCAAAAATACATAAACGGAATGGTTTATAATAAATTACCCAAGGAACGCCCAGTAATATCAGACTGTGGCAGCGAATCATACATGTATCACCATAAATAGACCATTTCTTATTACCCCTAGCATGTCAACACCCATTCAACCTAAAAGACACTAACGATTTTATTCACAAAATCAAACAGTTAAGAGTCCCTGAGCACACCATTTTAATATCCATCGACGTTCAGAGCATGTACATGAACATCTATAACACATGCTGGTATTGAAGCAGTTAGGAAAGCATTTCTTAGGAACCCGCAAGCACCCAGGTCGGACGAAGAAATCCTCAAATTACTCGACATTTGTCCGAGGAGGAATTATACCTCCAGTCTTCCGGAACTGCGATGGGAAAACGATTTGCCCTGAATTATGCAAATCTCTTCATGGCAGAGTGGGAAAGGGGAGTTCCGCCACTCTGCCCATTAAAACCAGATTGCTACAAATGTAAGTCATAACAGCATAGATTTCCTTGACACTACCATTTTTTAAAAGTAGCAACACCAAAAACACAGGCCAATTAAAAACTAAAGTATTTTTCAAAGAAACTGATACACATCAGCTATTGTTCAAAAGCTCCTTTCACCCAAAACATACCTTCTCTGGCATCATAAAATCTCAGATTCTCCGCTTTTATAGGATATGCACTCAGTGGACCGACTTTGAGTCAGCATGTACGCTGGTATTTAGCAAACTAAGAGAAAGGGGATATTCCAAACGCTATCTCCGACATATAAAAAACAACACTGTAGCTAAACTTGCTGCCAAAGAAACAAATAATATGCAATCAGCACTTAAAACCAAAACTTGTGGCCACCCAAGATGTCAAACGTGAAAAATCATAAACATATCCGACCATTTCCATAACAAAACATCTGGGACACAATTCCCAATATTAGACCAACTTTCATGCAGTAGTTCAAACATAATCTATCTAATTTCACGCAGACAATGTGACACAGTATGCACTTAGGGAAAGAATTAACGGTTACCGGTCAGCCATAGTCACCAAAAAAGACAAACGGGTCTCAATTCACTTCAACCAACCAAATCATGTCATTTCTGATCTCATTGTCACGCCAATAGAAAAGACCAAGAGCGACTTTGAAACTACCGAAGATATTAAAGCGTTTAGGCTAACAAGAGAAATATTCTGGATTGACAAATTAAAAACAACAGCTCCCACCCCACCCGCTAGGTTTGAATATTCATACGGCTAGCACAATAGCCCCTTTTGTAGTTCCATTTAGCGCAACAGCAGCAAGCGCATCCTAAATCATCAGAAAACACTATATTAATCTCCAAGAAATCACCCTAAAATCTTCACACAGAAACTTATAATTGCATATTCTCAAAATAAAAATCTGAACGACATCCTGGTGAACAGTAAATTAGACTAAATAACACCAGCCTTCACCCTAACCCAAAGCAAAGAATATATCAAACCCTAGCCCTAACCCTTAGTAAATAAAATCAACTAGTTATAAAAATCCATAACCCTAACCCCGGGATAGTGGAAAAATCTCATTTTTAGAAAATCCAATCCTTAGTAGGAAACACACTAATGTGGTTCTCACCCGAGAGCCTCAAATTTATTCTTTTTTCTTCAGAAACCAAAATACCAGAATACCACAAGCGACACCGAAGGGGAACCATCAGCCCCACCAACACCAAAAGAACGGCGAAACCAACCATGCATATTAATCTATGTATTTTTTAATAAAACTAGGAAATATCACGAACCAAATTTTCATCGTCCTAGGTCCGTGCTTCTGCTCTCCCCCATATTCTTAAACCTAACCTACTATCTCGCCAACAATCACGTGCCCTAACCTTAATTGCATCTCAGCGACCTTAGCGAAAATTGAGTTGACCATAACAAATAGATCTGTCTAGCCACTTTCAACCCATGCAGCGCCAGGGCATCTGCTAGTAACACTTATTTATAGTTTAGTATAGTATAGACAGCAAATCATCATGGCTTGACATCATGTAGCTGCCGGGCAACTGCCAGGCGTGCCTATACGTTAAGATCGCACTGACTGTTGGTTATATGTATACAATGTACTTGTTGTCTGTCGGTCGAGATAGGTAAACCTACGTCTTTTTCACGGAGATCGCTCAAATTAATGGCGATCCTATATAAAACACCAAGCCAAGGTCATGTGCAGATGAGTATCGCGGCGACGGGGTATCAGCACGGTGTTCGTTGTTTTTTGAGTGTCTTATATCAGCGACGAAAACCAATACCCCTTGGATTAAGATCAGATTTAATAACTCCTGGTTATTTCGTTTAATCGTAGGGGGGAAATACCATGACATCACTGTACAAACAAGAGATTTTGATCATCCGGGTGATTTAGCATTAAACATTCAAGCATAGTTGTTAAAACTGTTTCACTTTATCAGTGAGAGAGAGGGGGGCGGGGTAGGCGACCCTACTCAATGTCAGGTAGAAGCGGGAAGTCGAAACCACTTCACCTTTTAATCTAACGCTCACACGCTGAACCATCCGAGGACAAGATGACACTTTACCGTTCTAATTAACATAGCCTTTATTAAATATTCCGTCACTATTTATTTAGTTATAAAATCCCCCCCCCCCTCCGACGCCTTTGTTGTAATATTGATACTGTTACAATTGTCTTATAAACATACAAACACATAACGTTTACTTATGAAACTAACTGTCAATAACTTGTACTTCTTCACCTTTACTTTAAAATTATTTTATTGAAAGTTTTTATTATTTATACAGTAGTCATAAAGTAGCTGATGCGCAACTAGCCTTAAACATGTTACCATTACTGAACAAACAAACCCAAACAACAGTGATGCACCTTACATACAATCGCATCAATGCGTCAGAAAGCTACTACTAAGGTCACCTGAACGTAAACTTCTTATGGATGTTATGAAAACATTTTGTATCGTAAATGTAAAATAATTGAAATGGGGTTTAACGTCTTATTTTTCTGAACCAATCGAGCTAATGAAGACGGACATAGACCATGCAGTGTGCTATGAGGGGAAATCTTGCCCGGGCTACGGCGCAACGGCCTACTTTTTTTTTTCGAATTTCAACCGTCACGGGTTCTTTTACGCCAATGTATCCGAATGACTTGATGATGTTACTTGTCAGATCCCTCGGGAATTTAAATCAAAATAACGAGAATATTTCCCTTCATCATTCGTGTCAATTGACCTATTTACGCAACCCTAAACTAAAACAGGATGTCTTCCTTGTTGATTCAAATTAAACTTGATAATACTCAGTTTAACCGACAAAACGATTTAACTTTAAAAAGTCACGATAAGGGTCGATCCTTTCTTGAGTAGACCGATAACATAAATGTGAGCAATATCAAGGATCTGTAATAAAATGTAGCTTCCCGATTGAAACAATCTAGTTAAAATTTGATTTTTAAATTTCATACTGCGGGTGATTTTCGCCCATAGCATACTTTTAGATATCAATAAATCCTTGTTCAATGGAAATTACCAAGCAACTTATAATCCAGGAAATAGGCCCTAACCGCTACCCATCAGGTTCGTAGTGCCCTTATTGGTCGTCTAATAAATCAGCCCAAACCAGCGTATCACTGATTAGTCTATGCGGAGAATGTTTATTACCAGCCAAGACATTTAATATCTACACAATATTTGAACATTACGCTCCAATTAAAAGCAGAGTTGTTGTATTCCAAAACGGGTGACGGACGGGCAGATAAACCCATGTTAATAGTTCCCTGTTTAATGTCTTAAAACAGATGGCGATATAATAATCTTCTGTATTCCAAAATACTGCTGGAGTCTACCGAATCTATAGTTGTACAACTGTTCCATGGGCATATTTAGAATCCTGGAAAAGGCAGAAATTTTTCAGATTCTCCCAGACTTCATTATTATTATTATTATACATGTATTTATATAGAGCTGCTGTCACTAGACGTGTTCAGTAGCGCTTTATAATATTTGCAACAAGTCGATTAAAACATAAAATGACAAGAAAGACTGCAATACGGACCGATGAACCATTAACATTTCTTCAATACGGACCAATGAATAATTAACATTAGTCATTTTGTTATTAAATCGTTGATGCGTTAAATGTTAGCTTCCGCATTGTTATGTCTATGTTTACACAGTTCTCAATTTTAGAGGAATTCTGAGGTTCAAATTGACGAATGAGTCGCGTATCATCAGCATAAAATAATTAGTGAGATCGTTATAAGAAATAATTTTACTTATGTACAATTTGAATAAGAGAGGACCAAGAACCGACCCTTGTGGTACACCCTGATGTAAAAATGACATCGCCCAAAATAACAAGCTACCGTCCCGCAGCGAGTAAGGGTTGGCTCATTAACCAGGAGGTCCTTTAGTTCGGATGGGGCGAAAAACCGAGATCACGCGTACACGTTGACAGGAATTGGACGAAGAGCAGGCGGAAAAGCCGCTGTCAAGGCAAAATTTCCCTCGTAATGTGAAAATACTTCGATTTGTGGAAACCAAAAATGTCTTAAATCCTTTTAATTTAAACAAAATCTATAGCTATACATTTTCAAAACAAAATTGAAAAGCTATTTATTTCACAGGCTTTCAATTACCATGCAGCATTTTATGTCTTTTTGTATTCATCTTTTAATATTATTTATCATATATTAAATCCTTTTTTCATTCATATATTATTGTGTTAACGTTTTACTAGTATGTAAAGCGGAAAAATACAGGTCGATGAAGACATCGATATTTAAATGTGTAATAATAGTACATATCCCTCGGTGTCATATTTCAGTATCTGCTTTAAAAAAAAATAATTCAGGATTTCTCTAGAGTATAGTTTAGGGATCTATATGCCAACACCCTCAAGCCTATGTTATTCACCTTCCTTGATACGAGCGAGAAAAGAAATTACAAAATATTTGAAATGTTTGATTTAAATGAATGATATACTTATTTGGAAACCCTCGACGTGGCGTTAAAGCGACCCATTTAAAAATAAATTATTACCACCTGATTGGTTAATGTGACATATTTAAAGCAGCAACTGCGCGCTAATCTCATTTTTACGTTTTACATCGTGAGTGGCACGGTTAACAATTTTACACATCCAACATGAATACTTTCATTGTTATCGCTGTCTTAACAGGTAAGTCTGTTGTTTATTTGTTTTTTCGTTATAGACATTTTGTTTCAACCGTCCTTTGTTAAACTTATTATTTTCTGGTGGTAGATGACGGTTGGGAGTGTTATTGGACAATATTTTAGCAGTTTTCATTAATATAAATCTTATTATTATCCTAACTTTGTTAATCCGAAAGATAATTTGTAGCTTTATATATTGTATCTTTATGACAGGTACAGCAAGCCAGGTCTTTCAATTTTAACTTACAGTCTGTTAGCATATCATTAACCACATCGGCAGGCTAGGTGATGGGGACGCTATGAAGTGTTTTGTGTCAGGGGTTTCCATTTTTTATGCCCTCTCTCAAATGAAAAAAAACCCCATGGTTTCAGTGCGCTTTCTAGCCCTGTTGGCAGATGTTGATCTTCGCTACTTTATATTGCTCGACCGGTGGCTAAGGTATGCTACAAATCAACTCTATTATGTTCCACACAGCCGAGCATTTCTCGGGGGCACCTTGAACTCCTCTAACGATATGAATATTGTTCCTCATGTAAAATCAGCGGCCATCACGCCCCTGATGCACATCTGGTTATTAAACTGGCTTCTACAAATTTTTATTACTATATTTTTCTGGTTAAAGATACATTATGTAAGAGCCAAATCTGTCTACTTTGGCTTCAAATGTTATAAATACTATTATATAAACCTTTAGTAACATTTCAAGCCTATAGTCAACTCTCTAGAACATCGGATGGTCCCGATATTAAGTAGATTATAACGCTTCGGCAATTTAATGATTTAATTTAAAAATGGAGAAGCGAGGATAAGTCTCGAATAACAAGCACCGCCATTACGATAAAAAACAATCAATGCACACATCTAGTCAAAACTGATAACTTCGCTCAGAATAAAGTAATTTGAATGAAGAATTGTCTATTATTTATATTATTATTATATTATTCTATTATTGAGTAGTAGTAGTGGTAACTTAAAGGGAGCCACGGTGGCTCAGTGAGTAAAACGTTAGCTCGTTAATCTGGAGCGGTCCAGCGGTCGATCTCTGTGTTGACCGAAAAAGTTTATAGTCGTTCGGGTGGTACGAAAATCCCAAGTCCCGTGTACACATTGACTTGCACGTAAAATAACCCTTGAAAATTGAAATTCTATGTAAGCGTAGGCCGCAGTGTCTCTGTTTGGGCAAAATTTGCCTCATAGCACACCGTATGGCGTATGTCCGTCTTCTTTAGGCCAGCCGATACAGGACAGTAGGACGTTAAAGGACAATATTGGTGCCTGCCATTATCACATATGTGATAGAACTGGTTAAACACGTTCCAATTATTATTTTATCACAGAGATCATTGCTACGATAGATGAGTAATCAATGTTTCAACAATAGGAAGTGACGAACGCAAAAGGAAAACACGAGTTATCCCTCTATTATAACTGACTGAATTGACGGGTGATAACAGATACATGGGCGAATTTCTGCTCACTAATAATTCCCTCGAAGACTAAAAGTTGTTGTATGGGACTGTGAAAGGATATCTGACAATTCATAAACAAAATTGACTGTCACATAAGAGAAAATGAAAGAAAAATAGAAAAAGTCCGTGCATTACCATTTTTTTATAAGTATAGAATGAATAAACACCCGTGAATGTACGGACTGTTTCTATTTTTCTCGTGTTCTCTTATCTAATGACATTCAATTACTTTTTTGAATTGTCAGATATACTCTTACAGTCTCATATATCAACTTTTGGTCTTCGAAGGAATTTTTAGTGAGCAGAAATTCGCCCATGTATCTGTTATCACCCGTCACTTCAGTCAGTTATAATAGAGAGATAACTCGTGTTTTCCTTTTGCGTTCGTCACTTCCTATTGTTGAAACATTGATTACTCATCTATCGTAGTAGCAATGATCTCTGTGATAAAATAATATTTGGAACGTGTTTAACCAGTTCTATCACATATGTGATAATGACTGGCACCAATATTGTCCTTTAAAATCTTACTTCATTTGACCGTTCACAGTCTGATTATGGAAGTGTACATCTTTTTATATATCCCAGGGTGGCGGTAAAGACGGTTAGCGACCAGTAGACATGCATGTATTATGTGTTACTGTTTGGGGAGGGGAACACTTGATTGTAGCCTCGCAGCTATATAGGCCTATCATACTAGTACTTGTCTGTATCCGTATCCTTATTAATCTGCATATGACTAATGTTGCTGATATTAAACCTGTTAGACCGGTTTTCGTGTGAATAGTTTGAACAGATTGCACCCGATGTTAACAGCATAAAGAATCTCATTAAACACAGCTTCAGTATATGACAATACCCTTTTAATGTCGGCTTTCCAACATCTTCCTCGTTCAATTACATGACTACAATGTATCTAATTTCAGCTACGTACCCAGGCGTACAATAACATGTTTGTGAAGCGGGAGCATGCGGTTGAACACTATGCATTTGCTTCGTAGAGAAGCATATTGTGCAGTAGAGCGTGCAGTTGTTTATGGTGGCTGATAGTGGCCATGTTAAATCTCGCCCTTTTCATAACGCGACAACACGACATCACGACAGTATTGACGCAATCATACGACACTTTATTCTGTCGTATCATCGTGTTATTTTTATCGTAACGTCGAGATGTCGACTTATTGTCCTAGTCTCTTTCTACAAGTCACAAAAATACAGCTGTACTCATTACATCATATATAGGCCTAAGTAGTAGATTTGATAAATATAAAAGAGATAGTAGGAAAACGTTGATTAATTATTTGTTTTCTCAAAATAATGAAACATCTTGTGTCCACAAGTGAATTATATTTGGTATTATATTTAAAAAATCTAGAATTACAATAGCAGGACCAAAGTGAGTTAACTAAGTTAATTCCTTGAAGAAAAAGTGGTGTCGGGAGGTATCGAACAAGTAAGCATTCATTGCCATGTGTACGACACCCACCAATATTTATAGATGACTGGAGCGATAGTTTAAAAATGATTTCAGAAGACAGGGTGGGAAGGGGATTGTAAAAAAACCAAATCGGGTCACATTCTTTAAAATCACAGCATTATCATAGTGCAGTACGTCACCCCAATAGTTGCAGGAGTTTTTTTTTTTTGAATGAGGTGGAGAAAACGATTTGCAGCCTGTCATTGAGTCAACTGGCGTGGTTTTGAATCCTCGGTTGTACGTGACAAGGTGTAGGGTCGCCTGTCAAACCTCGTGGGTTTTCTCCGGGTCCTCCGGTTTCCTCCCACTGCTAAAGACCCCTACGCGCAAACGATTTATTGAAATAAAATTAAACCATATGTTAGTCCCGAAATGACCTAATTTGTGTCGAGTGGACGTTAAACCCCCCTCTCTCTCTCTCTCTCTCTCTCTCTCCCATTTGACATCAATAATGGGATTGAGGCCTAGATAAGTAAAAATAGGCCCAGTAATATCTTCAACTATGAACACACTCTAAAAGCCTCATACCCCCCCCCCCCCCCCCACGTCACCCAAATAGATGCAGGAGTTTTTTTATGAGGTGGAGTAAACGATTCGCAGCCGTTATTGACCTTATCGCATATAGGCTTGCATCCGTTTGACATCACTGGGATTGGGGCCTAAATGAGTAAAAAAAGGCCAAGTAATATCTTCAACTATGAATACACTCTAAAAGCCTCATACCCCACCCCACGTCTCTTATTTAGTTTTACAAATAATTCCAGAATCAATAAAATGGTATCAATGATGTTTGATACAACTGGAAAATAATATGTCAAAAATTGATTAAACATGAGAAATATTATTACATATTCAATCCGTATCAGTGATAACGTACATTTACTCAGTATGTTCCTTCCAATGGATCATCATTTAACATGAAACAAGGAAAGCAGCGATCGAAGAAAAAGATTTAAAAACACACACATTTCAATATGACAGTAGTGATTCGGTCATGCATTTACATTCGAGAGTGTCATGCTTTCTTTGAAAGTAATGATTGTGCCAAATTTGAACAAAGTCAGTTTACATTCGCGGCCTATAGGTAGAGTGTTGACAGATCAAACGTACAAAAAAACAAAGAAAAAACCAGACCTATAAAAATATATTTCTAAAACTCTTTTAATTTTGAAATAATATTGTTTTCGCGTGTGCTAAGTGTTTCAGCGAATACATGTAGTTACAGAAAGGGTCTTGTAGATTAAGACTATAGCGCATGTGCAGTTTCAAACTTCCGAGACGACAAGTCGACAAGTCGATGATACGACAAAACCAAACTGTCGTATCATCGACTTGTCGACTTGTCGTCTCGGAAGTTTGAAACTGCACATGCGCTATAGTCTTAATCTACAAGACCCTTTCTACAACTATTCGCTAAAACACTTATCACACGTGAAAACAATATAATTTCAAAATTAAAAAAGGTTTAGAAAATATATTTTCATAGATCTGTTTTTTTTAAGGTGTTATCTGTCAACCCTCTGGTATAACTACAGACTGCGGAACTAGATGTTCAAATTTGGCATAATCATTACTTTCAAAGACAGGATGGCATGAAATGAAATGAGATGGGGTTTAACGTCCTACTGTTCTCTCCTAAGCTGGGCTAAAGACGACGGGCATACGCCATACAGTGTGCTATGAGGGAATTTTGCCCGGGAAGCGGCGCTACGGCCCGCTCTTATATCGAAATCCAACTGCCAAGGGATCTTTTACGTGCACGCCAATGTGTACACGGGACCTCATTGTTTCGTCCCATTCGAACGACTAGACAGCTGTCATTGTCAGGCCCTCCGTCCTGCATCACTGACAAGGGGGAACCACGCCGGTAAATCTTGATGAATTTTGTCGGCCAATGCAGGGATTGAACCAATCTGTGAAAAAAGTCGTCTAATATCTCTGTAAAAGATGACTGTTTTCAACACATGCAATCACGTCACGCGGTGTCAATCATTGGACCAATGGCGCGTGCATTGTTTATATAAGACGTAACTGCTTCGGGTAGAATGATGCCTTTT